TATATATGTTTATATATATGTATATATGTTTATATATATGTATATATATGTTTATATATATGTATATATATGTTTATATATGTGTGTGTATGTATGTATGTTTATATATATGTGTGTGTATGTTTATATATATGTGTGTGTATGTATGTATATATATGTGTGTGTGTGTATATGTATATGTGCATGTGTGTGTGTGTATATGTATATGTGCATGTGTGTGTGTGTATATGTATATGTGCATGTGTATGTGCGTGTATATGTGCATGTATATGTGCGTGTATATGTGCGTGTATATGTGCGTGTATATGTGCGTGTATATGTGCGTGTATATGTGCGTGTATATGTGCGTGTATATGTGCGTGTATATGTGCATGTATATGTGCATGTATATGTGCATGTATATGTGCATGTATATGTGCATGTATATGTATATGTGTATGTATATGTGTATGTATATGTGTATGTATATGTGTATGTATATGTGTATGTATATGTGTATGTATATGTGTGTATATGTATATATGTATGTGTATATATATACGTATATATGTATGTGTATATATATACGTATGTATGTATGTATGTATGTATGTGTGTATATATATATATATACATATGTATGTATGTGTGTGTGTATATATATATACATATGTATGTATGTATGTATATGTGTGTGTGTGTATGTATGTGTGTGTGTATATATATATACATATGTATGTATGTATGTATATGTGTGTGTGTGTATGTATATGTGTGTATATATAAATAAATAAAATTTAGACGCTCGCACACAGATCTTTATAGCTATAGATGGCAGTTAAATGCCTGTTAGCTTGTTTCAGCTGTTTGTCTATATCTGTGTAAGGAGGACATTGTGAGACAATGAAAAACTGGAGTCAAATTCTTTGCATGTGTACACCTACCAACACCTTTTTTAAAGCTCACTAATCACCACGTTAGATCCCGTTTGTTTAATCCGTTCTAAAACCAAAGTGTCCCAGGTCACTGTTTTATCGGGGGTTACGTACCACCCTGTTTCTTGGCTGGGACCAGGTACCAGCCAGGCACCGTGTTTTCCTCTCAGCAATACGTCGAAGGCTGTGACAGTGCGTCCAAGCTGCGGTCTTGTGCTGCGGTTCTAAAGATTTTACTCTTTGCTTTCGCTGCAGGACGCCATTTGCACTTTGAACACACTACAGACCAATGCCAGTGCTCTGGAGCAGGTACGGAGAGAGCGGAGCCACCCTCAGCTGCAGCTCCAGGCCATGAGAGGCTTCCTGGAACGAGCCGGCCTCACAGTGAGTCACTTCTATCAGCTCAAACACTACTCATGGAACATTGACCACTTCAAGGATTACAAAGAATGTGTGACAGAGTATTTACTTCCATCTGTCTTATCTGATGTTTTTGTGCCTGTTTTAAAGGTGGAGGAGCTAGAGCATCTCAATATCATTCATGTGACGGGAACAAAGGGCAAGGTGAGCTGAGCAGACACCCAGCCTGCTGGAGTGTTTCATATGTAGCATTTCGAAGGCACAGTGAGTAATGCTTTGACCAGACAAGTCGCATACACAAGTATTTACATTGTTTGTCTACATTTAGATCCTAGTTCATTCCTAAGTTCACATTAAGCAAGCTCTGACACTCATGTACACTGTTGTGGCAGCTATATGAGGGTGGCCTCTGAGTGTTTGCGTTTATCTTTCAGGGGTCAACATGTGCGTTCACTGAGCAGATTTTAAGAAGTTATGGCTTCCGCACAGGATTTTACAGGTAACACTGTGAATAAGCATATTGAATATGGAGGGAGGAAGTTGTCAGTTATGTCCTCATGCTTTTTGTTTTGAAACCAGAGATGGTACAGAGTATTACTGTTTTGAACTCCATAACTGACCAGTCCTCAGACAACCTTTTATCCACTGCTGAAACCTAACGACCTATGACTTAAGGTGTAGTCAGTGGCTGTGCTCTGTAGTGGCAAGGGTGGAGAAAGTCAGTGAAGGAAGTTCAGGTGGTTCAGGTATGACTTCATCTGTATTAGCGGTTCCAAAGATACCACAGGACCTATTGTGTTTGGATTCAGATGAATATGGGTCTGTTACATAGGGCTGCAAGTGTAATAAAACAAATTCATGTGAAATCAGGAAAATACAACGATTAACATTCATATTGATGCACCTTGCCATTGTATTTATTTACTTATCAGTCAGTCAAAAGTGACTAGACACTCCTTTTGATTTTTCTTTCTTGGTTGTAGTTCCCCACATCTGGTACAAGTCAGAGAGAGGATCCGAATCAACGGACAGCCCATTGGAAAAGAGCTCTTCACTAAATACTTTTGGCATGTTTATGGACGACTGGATGAAACTAAGGTAGGCTATATAACAAGGCAGAGATGTACAGTTTAAAAACGCAGTCCCTTCTCGTTTTAAATGTATGTGCTGTCTGTTTAACTGAAGATGGACTAGCTGGAAGGAAACCTGACCTCCAGACTAAGCATGGCTACTCATTTGCTTGGGTTAAATCAGTGTCACACTTGTAATTGAGTCCATAGTAAATGAAACCCCTCATGTCAGGATGAGCATGACCATCATGTGACGGCACACTTTGGTCACACTACCAGAAGTCAATGTGCAGTTTGATTCTTTAAATATTTTAGACAAATTTGGTCATTCTTTTAACAAAACACTTCCTGTGTGCCATAGAGAAAAAATGCCACTTGGAGACTAGAAATGCATTTCCTGCAGGAAATGTGTGTGAATGCTGACAGCTGAGATGAATTTCTAAGCACTGCTGGAAATACAGAAATCTTAAAGTGCAAATGCATTGCACTGGGCAGTCCTGGAAAGCAGGCAGAGTTAAAAGCTTTCAATGTGACTGTCTGATGTCCATAGGGAGGTTATTACATAAGAAGGGGGTATGATGGGAAAATATGTGTTTTTTTTCTCACCCTGGACACAGACAGGAGCCCAGAATTCTGGGAGTTGAGTCCTGATTGAAGTATAAGGTTTAAGGAGATCAGACAGTTAGGCAAGGGTGTGTCCATTCACAACTTAAAGTCTCATCAGACATGGATAGGTAGCCAATGAAGGCCTACCTCGAGACAACACGGCCACTGAAGGAGTTGGCGATGACAGAGAAACAATCCTGCTGCAGGACTTGATACAAATGTATTTCCGCTTTTTATAGAAGAATTAAAAAATATAAATGACAGTTGTCAGGGCATGAAACCAATAATCTTTTGATCTCCGTTAGTGCTGAAACTAATTATTAAATCGAATCAAGTAGTTGTTTGCATAGAAACTTTGCAAACAAGGTCAGCAGTAATTAATAGTGAGAGGCGACTGCGGCTAAGTGCAGAGCAGGGCCGTCCTTCAATCAGAGGATCGGCGGTTGGATCCCCGGCTAGTCGCATGTTGCTGTGTCCTTGAGCAAGACACTTAACCCCAAAATTGCTCCTGTAGCTGTGCCTACGGTGTATGAATATAATCTGAATTGTAAGTTGCTTTGAAAAAAAGCGTCTGCTAAATGTCTGTAATGTTCCCTCTCTTTGACCTCTTCAGGACGCGCATGGAGGGACGATGCCTGCATACTTCCGTTTCCTCACCATCTTGGCCTTCCATGTGTTTCTTCAGGAGAAGGTATGCTAGCAGGCCTCTGCTGCCTTCATCAGCAGGCAGCTCAATCATACAGAAGTTATAGATGTATCATTTGGCACCGAAAAACCTGGCGATAAACGGCAAAGTTCCAGCCTTTAGTTTTGAATATGCTAAGTTTCTACTAACTTGTCTTCAGAGATGAGCTGTTCTGGCTATTTCTTTGAGCTTGTGTGCAGCATGAAAGTTTAAAGATGATCCACAATGGAAAGTTCATTCTGACAGTTGTAAGATGTCTTGTGCTGCATCGTTGTGTTTGATGGACAGACTAGTGGACTGACGTCCCCATCCTCAAGCCCACTAGCAGGCAAAACGTTTTTACTTCAATGACTAACTTCCTTGGAATCTAAATAACTCTTTTCTTTGTCCAGGTTGATTTGGCTGTAATTGAAGTAGGGATTGGTGGTGCATATGACTGCACCAACATTATAAGGTAAGACTCCATCCATCCATCCATCCATCCATTTTCCTCCGCTTATCCTGGGTCGGGTCGCGGTGGCAACAGGCCAAGCAGGCTGACCCAGACTTCCCTCTCACCGACAACATGTTGCAGCTCATTCTGGGGGATCCCGAGGCGTTCCCAGGCCAGCTGGGAGATGTAATCCCTCCAGCGTGTTCTGGGTCTTCCCCGGGGTCTCTTCCCAGTTGGACGTGCCTGGAAAACCTCCAGTGGGAGGCATCCTAATTAGATGCCCGAACCACCTCAGCTGACTCCTTTCGACACGAAGGAGTATCGGCTCGACTCCAAGCTCCCTCCTGATGACAAGCTCCTTACCCTATCTCTAAGGCTGAGCCTGGCCACCCTACGGAGGAAGCTCATTTCGGCCGCTTGTAGCCGCGACCTTGTCCTTTCGATCACGACCCAGAGTTCGTGACCATAGGTGAGGGTAGGAACGTAGACCGAGTGGTAAATTGAGAGCTTTGCCTTCCGGCTCAGCTCCCTCTTCACCAAGACGGTCCGGTGCAGCGCCTGCTTTACTGCTGCAACCGATCCGTCTGTCGATCTCCCGCTCCATCGTACCCTCACTCGTGAACAAGACCCCGAGATACTTGAACTCCTTCGCTTGAGGTAGGCACTCCGTCCCCACCTGGAGGGAGCAATCCACCGGTTTCCGGCAGAGCACCATGGCCTCAGATTTGGAGGTGCTAACTCTCATCCCCGCCGCTTCACACTCAGCTTCAAACCGCCCCAGTGAATGCTGGAGGTCACGATCCGAGGAGGCTAACAGGACCACATCATCTGCAAACAGCAGAGAGGCGATCCCGAGATCGCCGAACCTGACGTTCTCCACCCCCAGGCTGCGCCTAGATATCCTGTCCGTGAAAGTCACGAACAGGACCGGAGACAAAGGGCAGCCCTGGCGGAGGCCAGCACCCACCGGGAACATGTCTGACTTATTGCCGAGAATGCGGACACAGCTCCTACTGCAGTCGTACAGAGACCGGATCGCCCGTTGTAATGGGTCCGGCACCCCATACTCCCGCAGCACCCCCCACAAGAACCCCCGAGGGACCCGGTTGAAAGCCTTCTCCAAGTCCACAAAGCACATGTAGACTGGTTGGGCAAACTCCCAGAACCCCTCCAGTAGTCTTGCGAGGGTAAGGAGCTGGTCCACTGTTCCACGGCCGGGACGGAATCCGCATTGCTCCTCTTGTATCTGAGGTTCGACAAACGGTCGGAGCCTCCTTTCCAGCACCCTGGCATAAGCCTTCCCCGGGAGGCTGAGTAGTGTGATATCCCGGTAATTCGAGCACACTCTCCGGTCCCCCTTTTTGAAAATGGGAACCACCACCCCGGTCTGCCAGTCCATGGGCACTGATCCCGACCCCCATGCGACATTGAAGAGGCGTGTCAGCCAGGACAGCCCAACTATGTCCAGCGCTTTCAGCATCAGGGCGGATCTCATCCACCCACGGCGCCTTGCCACCAAGGAGCTTTTTGACTACCTCAGTGGCCTCTGCCAGGGATATGGGTGAGCCTCCCCCTAGATCTTCAGGCGCTGCCTCCTCTGCAGAGGACATGTTGGTCGGGTTTAGGAGTTCCTCAAAGTGCTCTTTCCACCGCCCGACGATGTCCCCTGTCCGGGTCAGCAGCCCCCCCCCCCCCCCTGCTGAGAACAGCCTGGGCTAAGCCCTGCTTTCCCTTCCTGAGCCGTCGGATGGTTTGCCAGAACCTCCTTGAGGCCAACCGAAAGTCCTTCTCCATGGCCTCCCCGAACTCCTCCCATGCCCGAGTTTTAGCATTCGCGACTACCGCAGCTGCAGCCCTTCTGGCCTGCCGGTACCTGTCAGCTGCTTCGGGAGACCCCTGGGCCAACCAGGCCTCGAAGGTCTCCTTCTTCAGCTTGACGGCTTCCCTCACCTCTGGTATCCACCACCGGGTTCTAGGGTTGCCGCCACGACAGGCACCGATGACCTTCCGGCCACAGCTCCTAGCGGCCGCGTCCACAATAGAGGCTTTGAACATGGTCCATTCGGATTCCATGTCCCCAACCTCCCTCGGGATGTGAGAGAAGTTCTTCCGGAGGTGGGAGTTAAAGACCTCCCGGACAGGGTCCTCCGCCAGACGTTCCCAGTTCACCCTCACTACACGTTTGGGCTTGCCGGGTCTTTCCAACCGGTTCCCCTGCCATCTGATCCAACTCACCACCAGGTGGTGATCAGTTGACAGCTCTGCTCCTCTCTTCACCCGAGTGTCCAAGACATATGGCCGCAAATCATATGATACGATTACAAAGTCGATCATTGATCTCCGGCCTAAGGTGTTCTGGTACCAGGTACACTTATGAGCCACCTTATGTTTGAACATGGTGTTCGTTATGGCCAAACCGTGGCAAGCACAGAAGTCCAATAACGAGACACCATTCGGGTTCAGACCGGGCAAGCCGTTCCTCCTAATCACCCCCCGCCAGGTTTCTCCGTCATTGCCCACGTGAGCCTTGAAGTCCCCCAGGAGAACTATGGAGTCGGTAGGTGGCGCCCTTTCCAGGACCCCTCCCACCGACTCCAAGAAGGCCGGATACTCTGAACTGCTGTTTGGTGCATAAGCACAAACCACAGTCGGAGCCTTGCTCCCCGCAACCCGTAGGCGCATGGAGGCGACCCTCTCGTTCTCCGGGGAGAACTCCAACACAGCGGCGCTCAGCCGGGGGCTCGTGAGTATCCCCACTCCCGCCCGGCCCCTCTCACCCTGGGCAACTCCGGAAAAGGACAAAGTCCAACCCCTCTCCAGGAGCTTGGTTCCAGAGCCAGCGCTGTGTGTGTGGGGAGGTGAGTCCAACTATATCTAGCTGGTATCGCTCCACCTCCTGCACCAGCTCTGGCTCTTTCCCCGCTAGCGAGGTGACGTTCCACGTCCCTAGAGCTAGTCTATGCTGCCGGCGATCGGCTCGCCCAGGCCTCCCGCCTGACCCGCCGCCCGGTCTGCATTGCACTCGACCCCGATGCTTGTCCCTGCGGGTGGTGGGTCCACAGGGTGGCTGCTCCATGCTGTTTATTCGGGCTGAGCCCGACCAGGCCCCATGGCCGAAGGCCCGACCACCAGACACTTGCCGACGAGCTCCCCTCCTGGGTCTAGCTCCGGGAGGGTGCCCCGGTTTCCCTGGTCCGGGCGAGGTGGCTAAAGTCCGTGGGCTGCTTATCATTAGGGTCGTTTGAACCGCTCTTAGTCTGGGCTCTCCACCGAGACCTATTTGCCTTGGGAGACCCTACCAGGGGCTAATGCCCCGGACAACATAGCTCCCAGGATCACTGAGCCACTCGAACTCCTCCACCACGTTAAGGTGGTGATTCGCAGAGGAGAGACTCAATATTTATAAAGTGATTGTTATTTACTTGCTCTTTCAAACTGGAAATATTGCTGAACTAGAATTTGATATATCTATTTCTGTCCATAACTTGTCCTGAAATGACTACAGTTTCAGAACAGACTTCAGATCAGACACTTCTGAACAGAGTGTCTGTAAAAGAGCACTGATATTTACATAGTTATTTATTGGAGAATGAAGCTTTAAATTTGACTGTGTATGACTGTAATGTCACTTTGGTACACAGACACACAACAGCTGTAATATCTCTAACGGTTTGGACCCAATAAAGGGATGCTGTAGCATCTCAATAAAAGGTGCTTGATCAACAGGAGAGCTGAGAACACTTACAGGTAGCAGTGTTACTTCACAACCTGCCTTAGTGGAGGGATTTACTCTACATGTCTTTTCTGACTGAGAGCCGGATGAGTGCTCAATAAATCGACAGGTTCTACTCTCTGTTCTGGCATACGCATATATTCATGTTCTAAAACCAGTCCTAGTTCAAAAGTTGCAGCTGCTGTTAAAGGATACGCAAAGAGAGTTTGTTGGGGACTATTTTCAGCAGCGGATGAATCCACATGTGTTGCTCTTGTGAGTATTTGAGTCAGCAGGACGGTGTATGTGGGACTGAGTCTAAATAAAGTACAGTGTGTGTGTTGATGGTGATGAAGGAACATGTCACCAGAGCAACAGTGAGGCTCATTGATGTGTTTTAATGGAGCTCTATGGACAGAGGAAGAAGAGACGCAGCTTTGCACAAGTATTTATCCCCCTTGCTGTTTTCCCTATTTTGTTGCGTTACAACCTGGAATTAGAATGGATTTTTTTATTTGGATTTCATGTAATGGACCTTCACAAAATAGTCACTTTCTTAAAAATTCAAAACTGTACGTGCACATGTTATGAAGTCCATAAATAAAATGATAATGGTGCTACCAATTACCTTCAGAAGTCATAATTGGTTAAATAAAGTCCACCTGCGATCAAGTGTCGCATGATCTGTGATACTTAGAATGAGCACCATTCCATTAATTATTTCAAAATGGAAAGAATATGGCACCACAACCAACCGCCCTAAAGAGGACCAATACTCGGGGAGCAAGGGACCAAAGGGCTGGAGAGCTCCACAGTGTCTTTCTTCTTTTTTTTTTTTCTTTTTTTTTTCTTTTTTTTTTCTTTTTTTTTTACCACTTTTCAGTTGTTTTGTTATAGTTTAATCCACATGGTTCTTAATTTCAAATTTAGCCCCTTAATTATTTACAAGATAAACTTTGATTGTGATATAAAGGATAACATTTTAGATTTAGATTTTGACACTATATATTATTGTTATAGTTTGTCTTTTTATTGAAATGCTTATCAGCCATAAATCCCTGCTACTGTCCCATATTGACAGTGAGGTCATTTGTAAGGTATCATTTCAAAATATTTTCTCAATAAACTTTCACTTTTGAGGACAGAATTATAGATATTTACTACATGGGAATAGTTTACTAATGCACATGTAGTGTGAGTGATGGTAAAGTCTGATGCCACAGCTGTTTTGAGCATTTGCAGACATGCCTCTATCTATGGCGAGGATCCAGGACAAACAGTTTATAGGTTACATCCGGTTACCCAGTGAGTCCTCCTCCCTCCAACAGACTGGAGCCATGTTGTACTATTTGGCCAAAGTCCAAAGCTCCACTGACCACTGGACGGGTGCAGTGCTGTGTTTTTACTAAAACAATAAGATTTGTAAAATATTTAGAGAACTTCATAGTGCTTTATCCCTGCAAATGTTGTTAGACGATTGGGCATAGTAAGCCTCATATCTTGTTCAATTTAAACATGAAGACAGCATGGAAGTGTGATGCACAGGGTGAGAGGGAAAGCCCATCAGCTACAGGAAAGAATTATCTTTCTTTCTTTCCAAAAATGTATTAACTTCTACATTAAATTTGAACAGGGATTTGTTTGTGGGTTATGCGCTCAAAAGAATTGGTGAAGCCATCAAAACTATCACAGCACTGCCAAACGAAACACCCAGACCTAGTTGGAAAACCGAAAAAAGAACAAGCAAGTGTTTAAAAGCTAAATCGAACGTAACGGCATTACGTGCATCTTTCCTTGTGGAAACCACATGGGTAAAACCAAAAGGCCTTTCATTCCAATTAGTCCTACGACCATCTGCTGACAGTTAAGAGCAGCAGTCGGTAAAGTCTCCCAGATCTCCATCTGATAACACTGTTGCCAGGAGAAATGATGACATGACAGAAGATGTTGTCAATGATTGAGGTATTCCTCTTGATATGCACGGAAAGTTGACTCATAAGACATGGACAATAAAGCTATTGTCATATTTTCCAAGATGACTTTCATAAGGATCTTTTATGTGCATCGTCCTTGCCAACTCACATTTGATCTGCGAGAGCAGATTGAGAAATTCCAGACTCAAAGCTGTCTGCTGTATCTGCCACTCTGCAGGGCTCAACAACAAGGATTGCCCAATTGCCCGGGGCAAGTAAAATGTCAGGTCGGGCTAGTAAATCTAGCAAATCCCTCGCCCAATCCAGCAAGGGATGAAAAAATTATGAAACACTTTTTCTCCGTAGCTGATGATGTCCGTAGCTACAAGTTGTATAGGGGCAAGTAGATTTCTGCCATGCTATGAATGAACTTAGCTTGTCACCACAGGGGAAACTGCCTCTGACGTGACATTTTCAAGAAGAAATCGTTGTTTCCCCAGTTTGTCACAGCATCTGGAAGCTGGTGCGTGATCACCTGAAAGGAGCTTTCAGTTCGGCAACCTTCCTCCCATCCCTTTGGCTGTGCATCAAAACTGAGAACCGCGTCCTCTCTGCATTAATGAAAACATTGGTGAAGCTTTAACGTTTCAGGTCTCCAGGACTGAGAAGGTTGAGAATCCCTACTGCTGGGTATGCTGTGATGTCACTGTTGGGTGTGGTTACAGGTGCAAAAGAACAGCCAGCAGAGGGCAGCCTGCTGTTCAGTTATTCACAAAGGTGTTTCTTTTGTGTTTGAATAAGAAGAATTACAGGGTGGTTGGTGTGAGCAGTAATAGCCACCAGGGCTGAACAGACAAAGAAAAGAAAGTCAAACATTGTGACATATGTCTCATGAATAATATTAGAGAGCCGCTCATCAATCTTTAAGTGCAGAGTGATATGATTATATTTACCAAACTATTCTGGTCTCTGGGTTTGTGAGGAGCCGTGACTTGATTGTGTGACTCGACATGTCATGTGAGGTGTGTTGCTGAGGACCAGAGGAAGCTCAGTGTTCAGTGTCGACTTGTTCTGAGCGATTCTCCAGAAAGCTGCAAGCAGCAACAGCACAGGTCAGACATGCAGCCCGTTGTCAACACACAGCTTTCAGCAGACACTCGTAGGACAGTTAGTTGACAGTAAAGTGTGCTTGGCACAAAATGATGAGGCTGACTGTAATACTGATGATACTGAAGAGCTTGCCAGTTACTGCTTAAAGTCACATTGAAGGATACTGTTGCTTGTTTGTGTGCAGTGAAAGCTCCTCTCGCTATACGTTATACTGGCGCTTGGCTTCGTAGCGTATCTCCGAGCATGAACGGAGGCGTATATGGTCTGCGTGCCTTTCGTTGCATTCTTCTCTGAAACGCCAGAGAGTGTACAAACAAAATGAACTGTGAAGAACGAGTTAAACCGACAAGTAGCCACGACCTCCTCCATGCTGAGGAGGGATTGTAATTATCAATGAACTCGTATCTCACATTCATGGACTACTTTATCACCTTTATACAATCCCTGTCAAGAAACAAGTCGAGTAGTAAATGCATTATAAAGAAACAAAGGCTGAATATCTGTAAACTATTTGATTTGGCTGCAAAATATTTACTCAAATGTAGATTTTTAACACCTGTTTGTAAAGCATTTAAAAATTAATTTGCCTTTTTTGTATGACATGTAAATAGTGCTTTTGTCAGTGAACCAAAGCCAATTAATTTAACGTCTCTGCAGTGAACTATTTGTAACTTTAACGTGTTGCAATATGTTTAAAATCGCAATAATATGGTATTGTGACTTGCATATTGTGCTAATCTGGTATTGTGGGGCATCTGATCCCAACCCTATTTATCACTACCTGTAGTTACTGATTTACTGCCACCATGAAGTTTTGTTTACAACTTTATCAGTGATGTAATAAAATTGGACCAATGTCCTTCCTCCTCTGTGGTTGTGTGTCCACAGGAGGCCGTGGGTGTGTGGTATCTCCTCTCTGGGTATAGACCACACTCAGATTCTTGGAGACACCATTGAAAAGATCGCCTGGCAAAAAGGAGGCATCTTCAAGGTCAGTAATCATCAGAAATGTGTCATTGTGATTGCACTTGGATGAGTAATATGACAAAAACATAGTCTTATATCTTAGTCTTCATCAGCAGATGGAGTTTGTTATGTTGTCAATTTAGTTTTGTGAGTTGATTTTGGTGCAGCCAGGATTTTGAACAACTCCATGAAAACTGAGCAAACTCCATCCACTGATGAAGACCGTGTATTTGGAAGTGCTGGGAAATGCTAGTAAGTGGACCTTGAGTTAAGCTGGGGTATTTTAAGGTCAAGAATAAAGCTAAACCGTGAGTTACGATGTCTTCATACTTGAATTCAGACCTGCTGAGGAGACATTGACGTTCTTAAGAATAAAACAACTCATTGTTGTTCAGTAGTGTTCTACTTCTCCGCTGCTCTGTGAGCTCATTTGCTGTTAATCATGTGCATGCGTTTTCAGCAAGGGGTTCCTGCCTTTACAGTCAAACAGCCAGAAGATGCAATGGTTATGCTCAGGAGCAGGGCCAAAGAGATGAGAGTAAGTGACCAGTCGCACTGATGCAGAGTTTCTCTGCTCCAGCTGCTCGGTTTCCTGTAATATGGTCTAACCTGTTGTTGTAGTGTCCTCTGTGGGTGTGTCCAGAGCTGGAGGACTACCAGGCAGATTGTGGACCTTTGCGTCTGGGCCTGGCAGGACAGCACCAGCGGTCCAACGCCTCCCTAGCCCTCCAGCTGAGTCACACTTGGCTGCAGAAGAGATGTCTACCAGGTGGGACAGGTGGTCTGTATGTCACATCATAAGAGAAGCTACCTCTCAATTTATAGGTATTTAGGAGATTCTTCTCAAATCAGATCAGCCTCCAAAGTTCATTTTCCCCCTCTTGGTGAGGTGAAGCTAAAAAACACCCACATTTAATCATGCGTTTCTTTTTCTGTAAATGTCCTGTCATAGAGTGTAACTAACACCTACGTCTGACTGAAAGAATACAAGCCAGCAGCAGTGTTGTGTATTCCATGTCTGAAAAGGGCTTGAGGCTGTCTCAGTTTCCACATCACCCTGTCCTGGCTCAACAGATAAGAGCTTTCCCTCCACCAGTGTTGAGAACACAGCGGGACGTCAGGTGGCTTCCTTCAAGCTCAGCCCCATCATGATAAAAGGTGAGTCCTGCAGAACAACCAATCACTGTAGAGCAGAGCAGAATTGGATCAGGACCAAGGTCATTCCTTTGCTGAGTTTTCCACCTTTGACTGAGCTACCATGTCACAATTCTAATCAATTGCGACATAACTCTTTCTGCAAAATTAGGAGCTGTGAAAGTAATAATAATATAGAAGTATAGTAATTAATAATAACCTTAATCAATAATAATTCATTGACTTGAAAAACATCCACATGGTTCACATGGTCCCGCTTCGATGTCTGATTCAATATTGATTTGATTTGGGATATTTCAGTTATAATACCAACATTGCTTGGAAATGAAAGAGATTTTCGAAGAACTACTATCCGATTAGGCGTCAAGATGTAGAAATGGCGTGTCCTCTTTCTGTTTGAAATACACAGTGAAAATCTTCAGTGGTAGTTGTGATATTAGTGACTGTTTGGTCTCAGGGCTGGCAGACACGGAGTGGCCTGGAAGGAACCAGACTCTGAAACACGGAGCAGTCACCTACTTCTTGGATGGAGCTCACACCATGCGCAGCATGCAGGCCTGTGTCCACTGGTTCAGAGAGACTGCAGCCAAGCATGAAAGGAACTCAAGGTGAGGGTCACTCATGACACTCGGTGTACCCGCATCTACCCAGCAACCTGATGTGAAGCTGCACTGGTCACTGCTGATAGGATGCGTCTCTTCACACTTGGTTATTACAGGAGGTGCTCATAACATACTTGCTGTAACGCATTGCATTGTGATTTGTATATCACTCGGGTGATGGCTGCTTCATCTCTCTGTCACACACCTGTTACTACTTGCAGAAATGAAGCACTCCAAGCCTACTGGTTTAGTGGAGTGGCTCACAAGACCACATGTTAAAACATCATGACATGAAGCTGTAGCACAGCTGGCTCATCCTCCATGTTGGTTTCCAGAAGTGGAAATCAGACTACCTAATTGTTTCTGATACTAGAGCAGCAGACATTTTGTCAAACAGCTAAACAGTACTGATGTAAAGCCATGACATGTTTGTGTTGTAGTGGACCTGTGGCCAGAGTTTTGCTGTTCAATGCCACAGGAGAGAGAGACTCAGCAGCCATGCTGAAACTACTGGTGGTGAGTACAACTGCTTTCAGCAACACAGGGAATGAGGCCATTGTCTTAACAGCTATTATAGGTGCTAAAATAGATATTCACAGCATTAATATCTCATCAAATAACTAGTGTCTATGTAAAGATGTAGTGTAGTAATGTCTACCTTGAGCAGAGAAGGAAGTCTCTCCCCCTGATTAGGGTCTAGGGATGGGGGTGTAACGGTGATAAATAAACCCAGGGAAAACGAATCCTGGGCAGCGGATGAGTAAACAAAAAGGATTCTCACAATGCAACAACTGAAAACTACTTTCTTAAAAATGAAAGCGACACTAACACCACAACAGTAAACACTCTAATGGGTCAGGCTAACAACAACAGTACACACGGCTTGAACGGAGGAACCAACACACACAGCCTGTGCGCTGCTACTTGGCTCACATGGTTGCCTCTCTCGATCTCCCAGAACCTTAACCACCATGGCACTAATCGGCGATTGAGCCCATCCGCGTTCGCTCACACGCTGCAGCTGCTAGGCAGGAACAAGGGTGGCACCTGAATGGACACTGGGGGGGTGGGTTCGAGAGAGAGCAGAGAGACAACAACACGGCACGTAACACTCCCTCCCATAGCACCAAACCATAGTTTGGCCACAACCAACCTCCATTAATACATCCTATATGAATTTAACATGAAGACAAATCTCTCCCACGGGTCAGAGCATTCTCTGCCCCCTTCTGGTGCTTTATTTCTGTATTAACACCGTGCACCAGCAGGGCCCAACGCATCAACCGCTGGTTATGATTGCACACCTGGCCAGGACGACAAGAGGGTCACAGTCACCGGCGATGAACTTCAAAATGCTGAAGGGAGAGAAGCTGGTGGTGCTTCAACTTCACAGAGAAGTAGCACACAGTTAGGAACACACCTGCCTCGCCCTGTTGTTTTTATTCAACATTAATTTAATTCATTATACTATATTGATCCCTTTAAGGGGGAAATTTGTCTCTGCATTTGACCCATCCCTGTATATAGGGATCAGTGGGCTGCCAATGACAGGCGCCCGGGGAGCTGTTAGGGGTTCAGTGTCTTGCTCAGGTACACTTCGACACGTGATACGTCCCAGTCGAGGATCAAACCATTGACCTTGCGGTTGCCAGACAACCCTCTTAACCCAGTGAGCCACGGTTGCCCCGAATAGAGTTGGATAGTAAAAATAAGTTGTTTTTTTTCTAGTAAGGCAATAGCATACTATTTGAAGGATAAAAGTTGTATTTTCTACCTTTCATGCATACATTGGTTTCTTAGCTAGGAATACAAACCAGGGCCATAATGCACCCCAGGATTTCACACAAATACAATGAACATTAAAAAAATCATTTCTACAGTTTTTACTGAATGAGTAAAATGTAACTGTTTTTAAGAATGAAGAATGTATGGCAAATACTTGTTTCTGATTGGCTCTTCCTGCTCTGTGCATACATCATGTGACCATTAGACAGCAGATCTTTTTTACTACACACAAGTCTAATACATCTGGGCTTAAAGGCTCTGCGGAGTCAACTCCAACAATGGATGTTTTAATCAGGACCATTAGTTCTAATCTGTGTAACCTGATATGAAGATGAAAACCGGACCCTGACTGAAGCAAGCTACATATGGTCAGTACTGGCACACAGTCATCAGACATTTATGTCTTTTACTTTCCTTTTTTCTTTTCAGCCGTGTCATTTTGATTTTGCTGTGTTCTGCCCAAACATCACTGAAGCCATCGCTTCTTGCAATGCAGGTGAGATCATGGAGCCGGTTGTTTCTGGCTCTTGACACAAACCGTGAACTCTGAAATGATTAGAACCATATGTGTTTAGCCCATTAACTACAAATCACATGTACTCGTCATGACTCCTACTTTCCCATAGCATAGTGTTGAGATTGATTCCCACTTCTGGACAGCCAGTGGTTCATTTAAAGGGTTGAGCATTTTGGGAAATATGCATGTTTGCTTTATTTCCTGAGACTGAGATGAGAAGATTGATATGTCTCTCAGGTCTGTGCACTAATTACAGAGCTGGAGTCAGGACGGGGTTGACCTAGTTAAGCATAAAGATTGGAAGCAGCTAGCCTGGCTGTGTCCAAAGATCCAAACATGCTAACATGCTGCATCTCGTTTGTTAAATCCATTCTGTTGGAAGGATTTCCTGATGAAGAACCAGCTTTGGCGGCCGTCGGTGAGCACAGGTTTTGGTCTCCTTACAGGCACAATGGAACCAACACTGGCAACCTGAGTGTGATGACAAACTTCAGCAGGCACAGTCACTGCACCCGACTATTGTTCGGCAAGAAACTGTTTTTAAATAAGAATAAAGAACGCCAATAAACACATTTCCCAAAATGTTGAACTATTGCTCTAGATCTCTATTGCTAAAGAGAGATTTGAAAATGGTCCCAGTCCTATCTGTAAAACTGTGTTTCAACTCAGTACAATATTGAAGTGCTTTTGTGTTCCAAATAAAGCCAGAAACACTATGACCTTAGTCATCCTGTCTCTCCCACACCTCTCAGACCAGCAGAACTTCAACGTCTCGGTGGAGAACATGTTGACTCGCTGCCTGGACAATGAGAGAAGCTGGCATCTCCACAACGGCATGGGCAATACCAAAGGTACTCAGCTGCTCATTGAGGACAGCCTGGTCCCTGAAAAGAAGGCCGACACCCTGGTCTTTCCCTGCATCCTCAGCGCCCTCCAGTGGATCACCCAGGGCAGGGATTCGGTGCTGGCAGACTCAGCCAAGAGAGACTTGCCAGTTAAACCCAGCGTCATGGCCAAAGCTGCTCCGCTCTGCGATGCGGCCGAGATCCACATCCTCATAACCGGAAGCCTCCACCTAGTAGGAGGAGTCCTCAAACACCTCGACACAGCTTCCTCTAAGTAAACGGACCATGTGAAATTCAAACAGTTTAGATAACGGCACGCACTGCCAACATGCACGTTTACCTTTGTGGAAGAAAAATGATTTCTGTCTGTATCGATGAGTTTTTTTTACATACTAGCTCATGGACAGTGACTTCAGGCATGTAGCTGAAAGGGATTAGCGCTACCCAGGTATTGTAGCTGACGCTAGGAGCCCCCAAATTCAGACCAAGGCAGCTTCAGTCCTCACTACAGCCCAGCTTCACCCAGAGCCTTACAGACGACCGCACAAACGTGTGGAGCTCACATCTCTAGTCTTACTTGAAGCCAAATATGTTTACATGCAAAGGGTACCTTCATGTCCACCACAATGTGAGCTGAGTTGGCTAAACCGGAACGATGTCTGTGCTTCAGTCATCCCCGGTGTGGTCACGTTTTATAATATTACATTAATTGCACCAAAAAGTGCTTCATCTAGTTGAGTTTTTTGTTTTTTTACTCTTGGCTATTACCTTTCACTCTTTTTTTATTTTATTTTTCTGAAAACCATTTGACATGGTTTCTACTCTTATTGTGTTGTTTCATACACATGGCCTACACATTTCCTTTAGTGGAGGTGTACATATTCTGTATGTGTGTGTTTGCACCAGATGGATTCATGTAACAAACTCGATTCAGTTTAATCTGTTTTACACTGGAATGATTTAACTGACCCCTCATTTGCATTATCTGACTGTCCTACATACAATTATTGTATAATTTTGAAATATATTGAAACTGTATAAAATACTGGGTCTAATATGTACTAATTTATTAGGGTCTTAATGTTGTCATGGTGATCCATCCAGTGAAGCTCACAGAGGTCATCAGCTGGACAGGAAGTTCATTCACATCTATCCACCCTGTAACCTCAAATGACTTTTCAATTCACTTTCAAATCAAGACATGAAATAAATGCACTTAAATGGAACTTGTCACTTGTAAGTAGTGAAGATGAAATCTGCTCACATCTTTAAAATGAGTCAATTAAGAAATATAGATATATGGAAATTGTCCCTCATTATTTCTTGTTCTCTCCTTCGTGAACCTAATATGTTTTATGATTAAAGACACAATTCTTGGGTGTGAATGGGTGAATGATGACATGTAGTGTTAAAGAGCTTTGAGTGGTTGGAAGACTAGAAAAGCGCTGTACAAGTACAGTCCATTTACCATCGACTATAAAAGTCTTTCCAAAATGTAGCCCATCAACTTTAGGGGAAGGACCTGTTTACTACCCTTCAGAGGGACTCCAGAAGCCCAACCCCTGCACAAGGCATCAGCATCAGTGGTGGTAGAGGGAGTCTGGCAGCACTCATGCTCCTGTACAGATCCACTAGTACACTGAAGATCACAATAGTTATATCTGTATAGGAATTTATTGACAAAGACGTTCTCTGGGAGGCAATAATGTGTTTCCGAATATTACATGCTGTTACGTTTGTTAACCTCTACAAGGGGGACTTCTGAGTCCGACTGGCCCACTAAAATCCAGCTGGAGATAAAGTAGCACCCACACACCAGCTGGTGACGGTGGACACTGAACATTCAGAAAAAAAGTTTGAAATATAGCACGAATGTTTTATGCTTGAATGAGTTGATGTATGGATAAAACAAAAAGCAGTGGAATCCTGACGTACATGGAGCATGTGGCTACAAGGCCCGCCGTAGCCTCTGATCCTCAGCGAGACCAGAGATGATGGCAGGCATCCACTTTACTCCATGGAACAAACGGAATTGTCTGATTCATATCATGGTTCACAGCAGTGTGACAATGTTGATCATAGGCTCTGAAACAGAAAAGGCAGAAGAGAGGTGGAGTGAAGAGCCACTGACACAGACTGTATTTTGGCCATTCAATGACCATGCTGAGATTTTTGCTCTTTTTGTTTTTTTATTATGGGCATTGTCCCTTCATAGCACGTGCCTTTGTGATCTATAACGGATGTACAGCGTCCCCTGATTAAGTGTTTTTTCCAATAACCTCATTTGGAAGACACAAATGCAAACGCTCTACTCTGCGTAATTATGGAAAAAGTGGAAACAAGCAAAACTGGAACGCCACATGGCCCGATCAGTGCAACGTGTGACGTAAGACGTACGGTGCAGACACGTCGGTGACGTGGGACTACGGAGCACCCTGCGGCCTGCAGCGGTGAGTTTAAAGAGTCCCGGCTGGAGGCAGCGCGCTAACTTAACGAACACATTACCGGCGAGGTTTGAACCGGAGGAGATGCCAGAACACAGGTACGGCTACGATTATTTTATACTCTTTGTTCATGTAGAACATTAGCACGATACCCTCGAGCTCTCTCCAACACTCTTCAGTCCATATGAAAACGAGCCAACACTACTAGCTGCTCACATTGTGCTCCATTTCAAGAAATACCGCTTATGTCTCAAACCACTGTGAGTCTGTAACGTTAGTCGTGTGTACATAGTGGGTGAGTCTCCATTGTGGCCAGCTTTAGTTTAAAACTGAAGCTAATAATAGCTGTTAGTCAATGCCGCGCTTTCCTGTGAGCCAGGCCTCCGTCCAGGTCTACTTCTTCCCCCCTCCTGCTTTAATGAAGTGTAACGCAATATGAGAATTACAGTGTGACTGGATGCATCGCTTGAAATAGAAGTGACAACACATTAGCGTTTTAGTTTGCATTTAGAATTTGCGCGGTCACACCGCCGGCAGCCGCATCCATATGGCGGGCACAGAGAGGTTGTTCTCTGGAGGGAAGCTAGCGTGACCTCGAGAGCGAGTCTCTGAGATGTCGCAGTAAAACGACAGCATTCTATTGTTGTCTCGTTTGGTGTAACATTTTGATGAACTGTTCTCCTTCCACCCAGGATGCCGCTGCACGATCTGCCCTGCCTGAGCCTCCAGGGCTCCATGTTGTCTCAGACCAAGAGGACCCACAAACGCAGGTCTAAAGGCGGCCTCAGTGAGGGCCTGGAGATGGAATGCACCCCGACAGAGCTCATCCAGCAGTGGTCACCACTCCACAAGCACCAGCGGCTCACCAGCAAGGGCAAAGAGAATGATGGCAACCAGTTTGTCCTTGCCAGGAGATCGAGGAGGAAGAGAGAATCCACATCATGTAGGAGAGCTTGTTGTGACCCCTTTGAGCAGCTCTGCAGTGTTCACTCTGTAGCTGTGATAAATTCCTACTGTGATCTTATTCCTTTAAATTTCCCAGCAGACATTGCATGGGACCACTTGCCTGACGAGCTGCTCCTAAGGATCCTCTTCTACATTCCTCTGCAGGACCTCCTTCGGATGTCGACAGTTTGCCAGCGCTGGCGTCGCTTAGCGTGAGTCTCTAATCACCAGGTTGCACCGGAGTCAAATGCTTTCCTACCCAGCTTCTGTCCTGATTACCTGCTTCCATTCTTGTTAAATATGTACACAGTTTGACCGTGTGACTTCCATTCTTCATGCGGTTGCAGTCCCCCAAATGATTGACTAAGCTCAGACCCTTAATATACATTTGTGTTTATTCTTTTCTGGTAGTCAGGTGGTTAAGGAACTCGTCACTAACGGGTAATGTTTGGTCTTTTGGGTCCTAAGAACCTAAAATATTCCTGATCCAGAGAAAACAATCCCACAACATGACCCACACAGATGTGACTGGTAAAACCACAGTCGGATAGCAGATGTGAATTCATCTGGATGCATGACAAGGTGTAGTTTTAACCTGCCAATGATTGTGACAACACAGTGTAATACTTTCCCATTCTGGTAGATAAGTTTCCACCTTTTGACTAGGTTTTCCTGATGTCCATGAACGCCACATATTGGTGTTTAACAATAAGCTATTAACTGTCTGTTCCAGGTTGGATGAGTCTCTGTGGCACAGCGTGGATCTGGAGGGGTTGACCCACATGGGTCCAGCTCTGCAGCAGGTGCTGAAGACCAGAGTCCGCATGCTGCGCTGCCCTCGCTCTTTTGTGGAAGAGCTGCACTTCACAGGGTGAGTCCAGCAGCAGGGGCTGCTCGCTCCATAGTTAATTCTGGGCTGGACCACTCGGGCTGCTAAAGGGTTCATTTCTGCCAGGTTCAATTTCTTGTTGTAAGAATAACTTCAGTGATATTCTAAATATTTTTTTATTGTTCACAAATCTCATGTGAAGACCTAAAGCAACAGTGAGTGTATCTGCTAACAAGTAGAGTGTGTGGATGTCTCTTCTTCCTCTGTCCATAGAGCTCTATTAAAACACATCAATGACTTTATTTAGACTCAGTCCCACATACACCGTCCTGCTGACTCAAACACTCACTAGAGCAACACATGTGGATTCATCCGCTGCTGAAAATAGTCCCCAACAAACTCTTTTTCCTCCTGTCTGATAAAAGCTACAGTTACCAACTATATTGTGAAGTTATTGAGCCATTTATTTAAAAAATGGATATGTATGTAGTAGTTTGTTTTTTTAAAGATTTACATCCTCAGTTTGGATCAATGGGCTAGGAGACAGCAGGAAGGGAAGTATTGTTAACTATTTAAAACAATGTGAACCACTTGAGGCTGCTGTTACATGGGCTACTTTGTCTTCTCAGATGAAACATTTCACAGCCCTCTAAAAGATGAAAATGGCACATCTTTAGTGAAAAAGATGAAAAACTTGATAGTATTGTTGTCTTTTGTCTTTTCCGTTGTGCAGCCCTCTGCAGATAGTTGTGATGGATCTGTCCAGCTCCATCATCCCCACCTCGTCTCTGGAGAGCTTCATCTGTCACTGCAGGCAGCTGGAGTATCTGAGCCTGGAGGGTCTGCAGCTCTCAGACGCCATCATCGGGTACGCTTTCAGCTGCAGCTCCACTGTGTCACACTTCATCAGAGGTGTGATACATGTTGCTGATTCTATCCCCTCAACAGCCTGATCACAGTCAACGAGCATACATAACATTTCTATTACATTAAAACATGATGAATACATATTTAGGTTCTAATCCATTCAATTTACTGTGATATATAAATGAGAGAAACATAAAATCTTCCACTGATGAGCTGGAACCAGCGAATTCCAATGACTAAACTTCTCTAAATGTAGGACATATTTATGGAGTGTGTTGCAGCTGGAGAATGCCGATCAGATGGTGTTTGTTACAGTTTGCTACTTTTTTATTTGTATTGATGCTAGGTAACCACCGAGTGATTGCTAACGTTTACACAAACCACAAAGTGTACGTGACTTAATAGTTCACGGTACAGTTTAGAGTTGGTGCGGCACTACTTGGCTTCAGTTCTTGGTAACTGCGGTTGGTAAAGTCATACAGCTGCTTTCTGTCCACCAGAAGTCCCCACAATGAGAACATATGTGAACTACGTCGGGCACTCGTTCAGGGTGCTCCTGCTAAGAGTGGACAAACTAAAGCAGCGCTCAAAAGACCTCGCTGTCATTGAAGCGTGCATGTGCAACATGGACGAAGGAGCTTTGAAGGCACTGCGCTCATCAGGTGTACAAATGGCAGCCTAAACAGCAGCTACATGTAAATGTTGTCATTATTTGGGGTTACTATTGTTTTTAGTGAGTCTTCTCTCATGATATATATTGCTATATATCATTTGTTTGTCCTGTCTCTCCCCCAGCTCTCTGTCTAAGAATCCAAACCTGCTGCAGCTCAACCTGAGCGGCTGCTCGGGCTTCTCTGCTCCGCCTCTGGCTGACATGCTGGAGTCCTGCACCAGGTCAGCCTCAGTCTGTCATGTGTCAAAGTCCTGTTGTCCAAATAACAGCAGCCGCTTTCATTCATCCTCCAGCTCTGCAGTTTACTAATGCGCTGTGCTTTTTGTGTTTTCCTCTGCAGTATGGAGCAGTTGAACATCGCATGGTGTGACTTCAGCAATGAGCATGTGAAGAGTGTTGTTGAGAGTGTGAGCTCTATTGTTACTCACCTCAACCTCAGCGGATACAGAGAGAACCTCACGCTAGACGGTAGGTGGGAGTGCTGGTGGTGAACCAGTTCATTACATGTCCAGTAGTGAGAGCATGAGTGTCTCCAGGCTCTTCTGTTCATCCTCTGCTCTCTCGGGCGTTTGTTTTCTAAAGTATTCATAAGGTTTGACTTCATGGCAAGCTGCTCCGATCTACTTTCTGTTCATAATAGCAACACTCTGCACACTACATGATGTCTCACTACATCACTGTCTTCATCGATATCCACCAGGTTTGTCGTGAGATCTTCGGTCTCATAACTAGGGTTGGGTACTGAAAACCGGTGCCAATATGAAACGCAACACATATTTCGGTGCTTCCTTTCGGTGCCTGAGCCGATTGAAATACTTTTTTTACACTACTTTTTTTTTTTACATGACTCTGTCCTGGCAGCCTCGGCCTTCCGCTCCTCACTCATAGTATTATTACAACCGGACGAGCTGTGCGCGCTTAGAAACAAACCCCTCCATCATTCTGGCGAAGCTTCGGCCATGATTTGTTTAAAAAAAAACAAAAAAAAAAAAAACGAGAACGAGATTTGTGCTGGCGCTCATAAGCACAACAGGCACGCGAAACTTTGTTCTTCGTCTTCTTTGAGGTGTAGTGGTGGTTGGCAAATGATGAATTGGCGCATTAGCGCCACCAACTGGTAAAATAAAATAAGTCATTAGACGTGTCGTATTTTGCCAGAGAAGGCAAATATGCTCATATTTCTGCAAAATAATTGCTGAAGTTTGAAGCTGTAGTGCGTGTGTGTGTGTGTGTGTGTTGTATTATTTATCTATATTTAAGTAAACTGTTAACAGTTAATATATTGTTCATAGTTTGAAGTTAAAAAGTTTGAAGCTGTAGTTTGAAGCCGTGTTTTGTATTATATATATTTATAGTATACTTTAAACGGTTAATATATTGTTCAATATGAAGAAAAAAGTATCGGTTCAGGCACCGTTTTAGCACCAGTATCGGAAAAACCCAAACGATACCCATCCCTACTCATAACCTCGTGTGTGGCTTTAGAAATTCATATTTAGAAGTGACGGCAGGGGGAATGTTGGTGGAGCCAAGAATCAATGCGAGACAGGCGCTCTGGAGAGGCAGGATGTGGGGTGTTTACAATAAGAGATGCACAATATATTGGTGGCGGATATATTCTTGGCCAATAATCAAGCTATTTAAATGATCAGTTAAATAATGTGGAACATGGCTGAGGGCTGGTGTCTCTGCCTCTCTGGTCTGGTCCAGCCTGCTACATTCATACCTGTTTGAAACCATATTGCTCAGTTAATGATGAATTACAGTACAAAAGCCTAAACGCATAGATGGATACAATAAGAGTGACCAGCTGGAGGACGGGCCACGGCCTGTTGCAATGATCTATCTGAATTCAATTGTCACTGAGAGCTCCATCGGTAGGTCACATCTTTCATAAAAAGCCGGCTCGTAATGGCTCAGTGAGTAGTTCAGATAACTGATCCGTACGACTGTCTTTGTTCACCTCTTGATTAGTCACATTCCTAGGCTGGTTAGCCCCGAGGCCGAGTGTCCATGTGTCAGAAGTTCACAGATGCTCAACTAGAAGTGTTTAGAGGGGCCACAGATGAAGTCAGAAAAAATAAGCTGGGTGCATCAGTTGTTCTCTTGGCAGCTGCATGCTGTATGTGGAGCTTCAGTGTGCAGATGAACTAGCTCATAGACGGATTGTCAGTTTCAGAAAAATACAACAATTGAGAGAGAGCGCTTTTAAGTTGAAGCCTACTGGGACTTTAAAGTGTTGTTCGTACTCGAGCACAGCGCCGCAGCTATATGTGCTGTTCATTATATTCTTCTCTGCAACACCAGAGGGCGTACAAAGAACATGTACTGTGAAGACAAGAGTGTAACCGGCTAAATGCCATAAACCAACCACCAATTATCTGTAAACTCATATTCATGGACTACTTTGTTTCTTTATACAAGCCCTGTAAAGAAACAAGTCGCATATTAAATCAATTCTAAAGAAACTAAGATATCCTGTAAACAATTTGATTTGGCTGCAAAATTTCAACTCAAATGTAGATTTTTAGACTTCCTGTTTCTAAACCTCTACAAACTAATAGACTCTTTAAAATCCTCCGACATGTTGGCAGGACTTTAATCAGTGATCTGAGGTGCACGATGCACAGGCCCCGATGATGTCATTTACTAGAGCGAGTATGAACCACACTTCACAGTCCCGGCACTTAGCAGGTAGAAAGTGATGCTCCTTATAGAGACGCAGTGTGTAGCAGTTTACTCATTCACAATGCTTTGGGCTGCTCGTTTAAGAACCACATCAGCGGTACACTTAAGAGTCGCTACAGCCGCCAGTGACTGTCATGAATAATGACGGCTGTTCTGGTGTTGGAGAATCTCCAACAAGTGGTGAAAGTGACACCTTGAACCAGACCAGGAGCCGTCCGCATCCACGTGTAGTGGGGCCCAGCTGTGACATACGCCTTCATATTGAGCACTTTTTAACGGCGTATAAACTTTCAATGTTTTCATACAGATGTGAAGGTGCTGGTGACGAGATGCCCCCTTATTCAAACACTAGACTTAAGGTAAGCTTGTCATTTTCTACATGTTAGCTGTACCGCTCTATCACACTTCAAATGGAGAGGTTCTGGACCAAACAGTTGATCAATTTTCACATGGAAAATGATTTCAACGTTCTCCTATATTCGTTACACTGAGAATGAACTACGAGGCTCTCTATCAGAGGAGAACATGGCCATCTGGAAGGGCTGAGTTATGTTCAGCATCATATTTTGGTTATGTTGTGGAAACACTGAACACACCTCCATGTCACAGGACACTGCTCTCCTCCCTATGGTTTTAAACGGTTGAATCCTGGTGAAGTGGTTAGCATGTTGGGTTCAGTCGCTACAGTTGAAGTGCTTGCTAGCTTGTTTTGACGGCTAAGGTTTGTGATTGGACTGACTGGGAGCAATGGTTTCAATGGTTCAGAGAGTTTGATAATGATGACCGGCTAAATACTGGCTGACCGTCCTTTATTCTGACTGTTGTGGCACTGGTTCATGGCTGTGATGTCATGCCTTCACTAATGTACATTGTTTTATGTCAGCTAGTGTCAGTTTCACCACATGCCTTTACATATTTTTGTGTTCTTTATGGTCAAGTCTGTTTTTAGTTGTCTGAGACATAAATTTCCTTTGAGGCAGAGCACGGTTTGAAATCTCATGGACTTCACACACGGCTGTGAATCCAGCTGCTGTGTGACTTACAGTGACGGCACTCTGCTGATGTAGCGCTGTGTCTCTGTCACAGTGACGGCACTCTGCTGATGTAGCGCTGTGTCTCTGTCACAGTGACGGCACTCTGCTGATGTAGCGCTGTGTCTCTGTTACAGTGACAGCACTCTGCTGATGGCAGACAGCTTCCCTGTCCTGAAACAGCTGAAGGGTCTGCTGCATCTCTCCCTGAGTCGCTGCTATCACATCCACCTCGCTGCTCTCACGTGAGTTCCCCCGCCGCTGTTCCTGCTTCTGTTTCTGTTGAGTGACTAAACCTGACCGGACTGGTCTTTTTCCAGAGACTTGGATAAGACGTTCCCCATGCTGAGCCTGCTAGACGTGTTCGGCATCGTAAACGGCAGCCACCTGGCCTCTCTGAAGAAGGAGATGCCTCGCGTCGGCATCAACTCCAGGCCGTTCTCCAGCATCGCCCGGCCCACGCCCGCCTCCGGGCCCATCGGCTACTTCATGTGGAACAGGAAGTGCCGACTGAGGTTCAAACTGTAACCACAACACCTGCGTCTGTTTTAAGCCGAGTTAGTTCCTGCTGCAGAGTGTTTGATCCTGCAGTGTTCCAACGCGCATGGGGAGTCCAGCCCAGCGTGCGCTAATGGAGCCGTGTTTGACGGTTTGTTGCTGCTACGGGAGATGTTTTTAGTGTTGGCTGGCATTAAGGGTACTGAAGCTCACATACTGGGCCCTTCAGTACTGAACATGCACGCTTGTAGAGAAACGGAATACTTCATATAAGGAGGTCAGATTTGGAAGTTGAGTCCACTTCTTGTTGGAATGTGTTTAACATTTTAATGGATTTTTGAATCTGTTTTAGCTTTTAATGTGTTAATTTAAAATACTTTGTAAGGGAAACATGGTATAAAAGACTCAATTAGCAGATGTAAGATGCCAATGAATATTTGGGACAGTTGATTCCTCAAACATTTGAATAATACTGATGACAGAAATGTCTTCTCAGCTGTAATAATGAGTGAACAGATGATTTTAGAGTATAAAATGATGTACCTGGAGCCATATTCCTGTTGGACAGACTGTACATTTATGCAGGCTTTTATGATATGTCACTGTACATGTGCTCTATATCACCATAGATATTCTTTATAAATATATCATTCAAATGAAAGATGCAATGCAACTTGTGAACTGAGTTTTAAGAAGTAAACCACTGAATACCCAAACTGCTCTGTGTCTGAGCTTGTTCTCATGGGTAAACAGTACGGTGTCCTCTGCAGGACGTGGAAGAGTGCATACCCAGTGTGCCTTGCAGCAAGAACCACCCCTACTGTGTCTGATTGGCTGCTTAACGCCAGTGGCGGGCCATGCATTTTATACTGGGCCTTCTGTGCTGTCCTACTACAGTTGAATTACCTCCTAATAACCTCATTATGACAAATCAATCCAGCAAACTTGCAGCGGCGCCACGCATTCCACCGCACGAGCCATTCAAATATTATTCATAAAAACCACACGATACCGAAACTTAAAGAGTTTAATCCCAGTTCATCGTTTCACTTCCAAGAAGTCCTCGATTCATGGATGCCAGTGATGGCAGTCGAGCCTCCCCAGTTGTATTTCGCCGGTCTGCTGCGGCTGGTTTGCAGCAGGGCCGGGATCCCCCCTCCACCGGGGCGCCCGCCGGCAGACGCATGCCAGGCCGCGGTTGTGGCGCTGTTTCCCTGCGACCGTGTTCGTTGAGTTGTAGATCCACTTGAGTCTCTCCAAAAGTTTTCAAATGCTATGGTGTCCTCAGGTTAGCGTAGCTCCAAACACCAAGAGCTCAGTTAAAATGAAACGCATTCCCAGACATAAAATGTGCAACGCTATTTCAAGCTGTCAGCAAGAAATCCTTTTCCTGGCTGAGTCAGGGCTGCCAGCTGTGGTTGACTGACCATTTCTTACGATGTCCAGCTTTCCTGAAATGTCCTTTCTTGAGAAAGGTGTTGTCAGTAACTCTGCCACTAAATCTGTTTCTCCTCCTTCAGCCATTGAGTGTTTAAAAAAAAAAACACAGCTAGGTAAAAAAATAAACTACACCAAGCAAAACCCTAAAAATGTTATTTCTTCCATATCTTTCAATTTGAACTCTTACTCCTCCAACTAAGCTCTGCTGGCAAGTTAAGTTTCAGTTCACAATAGTCACGTGCTCGCCCACTGACCAATCACCTCACTGCAGAGCTGCACATGGAAACTGAGTACTTATAGGCCAGCTAGAAGGCTCTGACATGTCAAAGAATACGCCCAACATGTCAAACTAAAGATCTGATTGGCTGAACACTATGACAAACATCGTCCCCATTCACTTAAACTTGTGAGTCTGCAGGCCTCTGCCTCTCTTCTTACCTAGAGACACAGAGGTGAAATCTGATTGGATAAAAGCTCTACTTAAAACAAGCTGCACTGGAAGCAGAGCAACTGAGGAAGACAGTAGCTGTGCAATGAGAACATAAGATAATGGGGAAAATATTTTTATAAATTATAATACATGTATTGTATTTAAGAAAAATTAGATTATAAAATAGCTATAACTTTGTGATTCTGTTTAGGCCAGCAGAGAAGGCCCTGACGGCCCACCACTGCTAAATGCTAATATTCAGTTTTATTTCTAAAGCCCAAAATCACAATTTCTCCTCAGAGGGCTTTACAATCTGTACACATGTGACATCCTCTGTCCCAGGACCCTCACATCGGGACAGGAAGAATTCCCCCCAAAAAACCCTTTAACAGGGAGAAAAGAGGGAGAGACCTTAGAGAGAGCAACAGAGGAGGATCCTCTATCAGGATGGAGTGTGATAGATGTCATGTGTACAGAATGAACATAACAGTTACAACACATTCAATGCATATGACATCAATAATTCATATGAGTAGTAATAATGGCAGAATAGAGAAATGGCTACTAGTAACGGCAGCAGTGGATATAATAGATTAATGATAATAAAAGCAGTAAGAAACATGACTATTAATGGTAAGAGTGGGTGTTAGCCTAGCTAAGATGCTAACCGACACTCAGCCACGGCAGCGAGCGTTTTTCCTCCCAAGTCCGAAGGAAAGCTACACGGTGCGAACATGGGGTTTTATTTACAATTTGCATAAATCAATTCATTCAATACATTTTTGAGGCAACTAATTAATTACAAACAAAATGGATGCTTCATCCATTTTGTACGTAATGACATAACCTGTCAAGCATATTTGATACACATTTCTTGCATAAATGTGTCCTGAGCTGATGAATTGCTCTCATGTGAATGTGGACTTTCACCGATATGGGAATGTGTGAGGCATTCGATCAACCAGTTCTCTAAAACAGCTCAGAGGTTTATCGCCTGAACTGTGATTGAGAGACAAGTATCGACACAACACCACGTTGGGATTAGTGACCGGAGGAGCCAGGAAGCGAGAACAGTAGTGAGGCTGCGTGGAGGAAGGTGGACGGGCCGAAGGGGTTTCCTACGTTTACATCTTGTTCCTTTACGATACAGAAAAGAAAGCGACAGTTTCACAGCACCGATTAGCACAATGATGGTCCGTCAACAAATTACAGCAGACAGCGAAGGCATGAATGGGAATCCTGTCCAGTCTCTGGCAATTAATCTCCCACATACAGTAATGTGTAACGGTGTGCTGTTGAAGGGGATATGTCGGTCAGAGTAGGTGCAGCCTTTTACCCAGTCATCAGAAACTATCAGACTTACAGACAACATGGCCAGGCCTTTAGACCATCTGGATTGTTACCGACGACACTCATTGAGATAGTGACTTTTGGGGGTGCCGTTTGTACAAGTTTTTCCGAGACATACACTTGCAAATGTTTAGGATGATTTGAGAAATGTACCAAAATGACTGCGAAACACCGTCAAAGATCCTTCCGTCTCCACCATGATACAGTGGAGGTGAATGAAACTTCATATAAGTCAATAGTAAATCTGTTTCAGTACTCCGGATAATTACCAAAGCTCAGTGACATTCTATTTCACCAACTAGAGCAGATCTTGTGTTGCAACAGTAAGAAATCTACTGTAAATGAAGAGGCGGCAGTAATGAGTTTAAATAAGCACACAAGCATTTCTTTTTCATACCACTTTATCTGATTGACAAAATAAACATCTCACTGATCAAGTGGGATCACAAGCGTATACAAGAGACCTGCTAGATTCATATTCAATATTTGAAATCATTACAACTACACCACCCTGTTGGTCTAACTCTCTTTAGAATGTCAGCATGTACCATTGTTCAAGCATTTAGTGTCCATGGGTTCAACATCATTTCACTTTATAAGAGATCAAGTTTGTCGGCATGTCGACAGCAACCACACGCTGCCGTTTCAGAAGCATTTGTGATCTTGTGAGGTTACAACTGCAAGACTCACTCTGGACCTAAACAGCAGAATGCTCCTTTAAGCATGGGGGGGTTTTATTGCACTTCCTTCATCCCCAAGCCCAAATGGTTCAAACAGCTGGAACAAAATATGAGCTATGATACAAAAATATCTTTAGTCAACAAACAGTTCACCATATAAACCTTTAAACAAGCACCAATTAGACTTTTGAAAATCTGGTGATAATTTATGCTTTTATTGTCAATAAGTGTAATGAGCAGACCCAAAGCAACAGTGAGTGTATCTGCTAACAAGTAGAGTGTGTGGATGTCTCTTCTTCCTCTGTCCATAGAGCTCTATTAAAACACATCAATGACTTTATTTAGACTCAGTCCCACATACACCGTCCTGCTGACTCAAACACTCACTAGAGCAACACATGTGGATTCATCCGCTGCTGAAAATAGTCCCCAACAAACTCTTTTTCCTCCTGTCTGAGTAATGGTTGAATTTTTAATAAAAGGTGCTCAATACGAAATTCAGAGCATTTCTATGATTGAGGGAAATCCATCACGAGACAAACCTCATTTCATATCACATGTTTTCTGGTAATTCAGTCGCTATATGAAGTAACCACATGGTTTCGTATACTCTGTGAATTTAATACTTGACAAATGAAAATGACTGAGTATATATTTTAAATTTAATGAAATACTTGAGACATTTGAGTAAGTGTGTGCTTGTTAATATCAAATTAGAAGATATAATTGTGTATCACAATATCTCGAAATATGAATTAATCGCGATACTATTCCATTGAAAGTGGATAAATAATAATTAGTTATCACCCAACGCTAACGGTTCTAACACCAACAGTGTTTACCAGGAAGGTTGGTGGGCGCTGTGCTTCTGTGACTGCCGGTCAGGACGGAGGCATCAGCCTCCATCAGCTCACCAGTGGGCACGCTCACGTGCACTAACATGCACGGGGCCGGCTATGTGAACAAAGATATCACACAGAGGGCGAGAGACCACACTCTCTGCTCAGGGAGACATTACGACACTCGATCTTTACACAGATGATGGTTATTGATGATATATTAATGCTCTGAATGTTGGATAGGGAACCTTTAAATTACATTTTGTATTTGTGAACCATTTTATGTCCTATAAGAGTTATGTCCTCAGTAGGAACTCCTGGACTTGGGGCTGAGTGACATAGATAGAGAGTGGGACTCATTGGGAGTTGCTGACAATAAGAAGAATTCCTACACAGATCACAAAACTTCATCTGAAATAGATACAAATGTAAACAATTGTTTTCTATTAACAGAATGATGTTATACCTAATAATCATACCTGATATGTTCTGTTATCTTGATGCAGTGAAAGTCAGTCAATGGTAACATACTTTACATGATGCTTGACACAGTATCCACAAAATGGATTATCAACCTGTCATAACCCGAGAATAGAGAGGAAAAAAGTGATTTGAAAATACATAGTTTGTAGAAATGCACACATTTAATAAAACATTAGTAACAATGATACCTTTCTGTCAGCTATAACAATATTCACCACTTGTGGAGGCTAACGGCTATAGAGGGGTACTTCCCTTTGAACAGTGGGCTTGAGAGAAACCAGTCGAGTGTCGTGTGCTCTGAACTCATCTCAGTGTTCAAGAACAACTGTCCGGAGCTGATCCTCCTCACTCATGCTGATTGTAGCGATGGCACCGTCGTTGAACTCGAATGAAGTCCCGCCGTCAACCACCATGCAGGCGTCCCAGCACCGAGAGCGGACAGACACCCTGAAGCACAGATGCATCACAACACTCAGACGGTACACCTTCACAGCTTGTGATTTGGCTGTTGTGAGACCGAGGAACATCCACTGACCTGCTGGCGAAGCCTCTCTGCCGACTGCTCGAGAACACTCGGTTGACGATGGGCTCCCTGATGCTGTAGAACAAACGTCTGTCGTCTGGACTGAACACCAGAGACTCGTTGTATTCATCAGTAACTGCACAGACACAGACGCCATCGTCACATAAAACAAAGCGCCAAACTATGTACCAGTCAAAAATAAATAAAAGGAGGATTATCATCACCCATTTCAATGATGTCACGATTAAGCGGGATATCAAGACCCGTTTGAGACTTTCCTGAAAAAAGACACGGGGGTCAGAAGTCTGGTGCTGGGAGACAAACCTGGATTCATTTAGATTCTAACGTCACAACCTGCAGACGTACGTACCGATCTTTAGAACCTCCTCCACAGCTTGTTCAGCAAGTTTGTTGATATTGTATGACCTGACCAAAAGAAAGAACATATTCAACACAGGATGTACTGTGGCAAGTCAGCACATATTGGGAGACACTATGAGTTCAGTCAATGCTTCTGTTCGACCCCATTGGTCTCGTGAGCAGGTGCAGCTGTGACTGTGCACATGTGTTGAGGACACGTGTTGAGGCTGTAGTGAGGCTGGGCAAGGTGCATGCGCTACAAAATGATGTCATCACGGTGTGAAAGCTGACGGTCACAAATAGTTCACTGATCAAAGCTCTAATAACAGGTCTGAGGACATTCAAAGACATTAGAAGGCATTGTGGAGGTTGCTTTATGGCGGTTGCCTTTCAGGGTGCTCGTAGCTCACGCGCCGCTATGGAGGCTCCGACACGCTGCCACGTTCCAGTATTAAAGGGTTAGTGCCTACCTAATGCTCTTTGAGGTGTCCACAGCTCCCTTCAGAGAGTCGCTTACTAAAAAGACGGATGCTGAATTAAAAGGAGTAGGTCAAGACTTTAATGAGAAGATGGATGCCTGTGAGAGTGGTATCCATCTTCTCTTCTCATCCATGCAAGAAAGTCATTAAACATGTTTTCCAAAATGGCAAAGTATTCCTTTACGTTTCATTAAGTAGATTTACAATTTGAGGAAGACAACAGAAACAGAAATGTTTAGATGTTACTAAAGGCCCTGTAATGTTTATAGTGAGGACTGCTGCTGAATTTACAGAACGTACAATAATAAATTGGCCTCATATTGAGAACAGACATTTCCAGCAAGTCAGCACGACGCATTTATCCTATCTGACATTTACAGTCCTGATAGTGAAACCTGGTCTTTGGTATCAGCTGGTACAGAGCTCTGATCAGAGACCAGTGTTTATTCAGTGAGTGGTACGCCTCACTGTGAGGAAGAGACGTCATGTGTAGGGAACATCAGGCTTCACTGGAACATTGTTTTACTGATTCTGTCAAACTAAATGTAACAAATGAATACTTACATTACTGACTTGTTACCTCTTATGAAAATAATAAATCATACACCAGCAACTTGGTAAAAAAATCTGCTGAACCGGTCTCTTAGTCATGTCCAGACTTCTAATAAACAGCAGATGAGGATGAAGCACTAGTGAAACATTTACCAGGCTTTGGATCCTGTTCCCGTACAAATGCTGAGTCCTGAACTCTTCTGCTTTTCCCACGGGCCGTCATCCACGGAGATCTCATAGTAGGACGCCCTATGGAGCAAGAGGTTAACATGGAGTTTGAAGGCGTTTAACTTCACCCTGTGGTAGACAGAGATTATCCTGGTGAGTGCTGACAGACGAGCAGGCTGATGAGATTAATGTTTAGGAACAGGTACTGGCATCAGTGAGGATGACGGAGGTACCTGGAGGACAGAGACTCTCCGATGAAGATCTCATTCAGGCTTCTGATTGGTAGGAGACTAGTCTTGGAGAAGCTGTCACGTAGCATTCCTGTCCCTGAGAAATGTCACCAAATTAGTAGAACAGCAGCGAGAGAATACAAACGTCAACTTACGGATACATTACCGTTCAAAAGTGAATAACCTGCTGCCACAAAGCTGGACTGTGTGAGAGGACGACTATGTCTGAATGGAGAAGGTCTCTGTACTAACGGATGTTATCGAGTTTAGTAGACGGAGAACAAAGCCCTGTGCATCAGTTCAACTGAGCGACACACAGATCCTCTGCTGATTCCTTTCTTCTTCAGCTGTTGCTCAGTCATTGGGCAAAGAAACTGGAAGCTTAGATTTAAACAGGAACAGCTTCCTGTTTCAGAGTCAGGAGCTTCACAATAAAAGCAGCCTAGAACTTTAGTAAAGCTCTTCTTCAGACTTCACCATAGAAACAGAAGGTTAGTGAAGGGTTAGCACTGTTGGAACATCAGATGAGCTAACTACAGTTTAAACCTCCTCACTCAATATTTACAGTTCAATAATTAAACTAATTTAACATCAACAGGATTCTCCTGTCATGTGACACCGAGGACTCCACTGAATGGAAGTTTGAGTTGTTTCATTCTTCTTCAAGAGCATCAACATAACAGCTGATTATTAACTTCTGAACGATAGTGTACACAAAGCTTCCTAATTAGAGCTCAATATGAGCCCATTAATGACAATCTAGCTCCAAGTCAGTTCATCTCGTGCACATGAGAGAGTGACCCAGGAGAGCAGACAGAGGGAGTCCTACTCTGCTGGCTGTCCATGGTGGTGATGCGGTGAGCTTGGCTGTGCTGCTCCAGGCTCAGCTGCTGTTCGTGCAGGTCTACGGAGGTGGGATTGATTCCTGTGCCCTCAAAGTGTACACGGATCCTCTGACGCCACAGCCACCTAACACAGCAGAGAGGAGGGGAGGCCAGAGCCCATTAGGCTCCCACTAAACCAGTGGGTTTAGTGGGCATTTCTTTCATGGGAACAATCAAGTTGAAAACATGCTGATACACATGTGAAAGCACCTTTATTGCACCACAGAGGGCGTTCACTTGTACAACAAACCTAACATTTATTGAAGGGCTACTCCAGTGATTAGTATTGCACTTCTGGAAAGTAAGCCTTACAAGACACAGATTAAATCAAAACAGCACACAGATATCCAGGCGTGCAGTCCGTAGCATGGCTCAAGCAGCAGAAATTCTGGATCTTACATCTTCCACAATGAAACTCATAGCATATTTTCATTAGACTGCCTTGTACGAGTCTTTAAAACTCAAAGTCCCCGTCTGTAACGCAGTCTTCCATTCAAATCTGAGAACAGTTATTCTCCTCAGTTTGCTTTTGTCCCCGTCTTACCTCCTATCATTTCTTGGGTCGTATATGTGTTCATGTACTCACTTTTTAAATAATGAAAAACTCTCATAACATAATCATTTTTCTCAGGTCCACCTGAGCCACCGCAGACATCCACAACCATTTTCAGTCTCAAACTTGAGGGTACAAATCTGTTGAGAACCCCTTTAAGTTTGTCATTTGGTCTCAGTTGCTTGATACAACATAAAAGAAATATAGACGACATATGACTACTCATTTCGTTTCTTTATGGCAATCAAGTTTATAGAAATATATTAATAAGTTGTGAAACAAAACTGTAATACATTTACCCACAAAGGACGGGAATGTACCATTTAAACGTTGCTTTACGTGACAGGTGTATTGAAAATGACCTGGCATCATATCTTAGATTATCCTCTTTATTTTCTCATGTTTGAGGCTGACACAATCTAAATGTGTTAATGCCACACACCCACTGAGGGTTGTCTTCACAACTGCAAGGTGAAAATACTTATTTTTAGGAACATTAGCAATAGGAATCTGTCTCAGCACTGTGCCAGTACGTCTGTTAGGAGTACACCTGACCAGTGGTGTACAGTAACGAAGTAGAAATACTTCGTTACTGTACTTAAGTTGTTTTTTGGATATCTGTACTTTACTATTTATATTTCTGTTGACTTTTA